TTGGGGGACAAGGAATGGGGTGGGTGTTGGGGTGCTCCCACTGAATGGGCACAATGTAAGAGTGTATGGCTCACCTTTTGGGGGCAGGACATAGCTACAAGAGAGACTCTACTGAACAAATTCAAATATTATGACTTGGTTGTTTTTACCCTCACATTAACCTGAAATTAAAATTTAAAAAGGTTCTTGTTACCTCTTTCTGAAATTGGTGCTCTCATAGATACTATTCTCTGTCCTATTTCCATTCTGCTGAAGCGTAACAGGCAAATCCAACACCTGCATGCTCTTGGGCCTTCTCTTTGGTTTCAACTACTTCTAATATCTCATTGAATGACATCTCTTTACAGCCCTGGTTAAATCTCTTTGTCTCTTGGCAAAATTCTGCCTTAAAAAAACATTTACAGACTTGATGCCTTCTAATTCCTCCACCACACACCTTCAAAGCAACTGACCTTTAACTCATGCCCCAAGACCCCCTTTAGTAGTGTTCTTCAAAGTGTACCTCCTTAATATAACATATAAGGCCTCATTGAATCTAAATTGCTTTTTTACTTTCATGTTGTTGTGCCTCACAGTTATTTGTATATAGTAGTTCCTAACATCTCATAGGTTGTGATACTACCTGTGTGGTTTTGCGACTACCATTGCAGCTTTCTGAAGTTCCTTCTTTTCCTCTCTTCACCTTCTCCTGAATCGTTTCTACATAACTTTCTAATATCAGTTCACGGCTATGTATAGGAAGGTTTGTTTAAATCATTAGTGCCTTTCTTGGCAATCCTATGGGGTCTTCTCCTTCACACACCGGAATTGCATAGACATGTCTAACCAACTAGATTTTTTAATTATGGTCATTGTGTTTTATACATTTTATGTGTGTATAGCTGTACACGTAAAGCTGATGCTCAGCAAATAATGAATTGTGCAATTGAATACAGTTTTTCTACATCAACAATTATTCCAGAATTTCTAGTTTATGAGGTATTTCAGTAACAGTTTTCTTCTTAAATTAGGTATGTGGCCAACTAAACAGAGGTACTGACAATGAGTGTTTGAGAAAAGCTTTCTTGTTCCGAAAAGAAGAATATGCAGAAGAGAGATGTGGGCTCATCATATCCCTGTATTCCCTGACTTTTAAATGTTCCTTAATTTTATTTATAATTTCTGAGAGCATTCATATGAGATAAGATACTACATTGAAATCAGAAGGAACCAATGGATTCTCACAGCTTCAAATAAACAACAATATCAGATTAGCAGCATGATTCATTCCCTTTCTGGTAATAATCAGCATCCTCTGTTTCAGAAATTAGCTATGAGCATAACTCAGATATATGTGGGTTTCTTCCAAACCACCACATAAAGCAACTATCCCAATAAAATGAGTCAAATCAATTTTCTAGTTTCCCAGTATATAAAAAGTTATGTTTATACCATGCTAAGCATTATTACAGCATTATCCTTAAAAAGTATCTAACTTAATTACAAATATTGTCTTGATATTAATGGCTAGGGCCTGATCAGGGTGCTGGTTGCTAAAGGGCAATATGGCTATAGAAATTTCTAAAAGAAGAGAAAAATAAAATTTCCCATATTGGTTGTCACTTCCTTTCACAAGAGATTTCTGGGTAGCATGCACGTGATGCTGTTTGGTAGAACTTGTTTTTATAATTGGTGTTACCCCTCCCAAACCTGTTCCACTTCAGTACCTAAGGTAATGTAACATTCCAAATCCCTTATTGTCATTTCAATGAAGTTCACAGCATCTTCACCAGGAGCAGATTCCATCTCAAGAAACCACTTTCTTTGCTTGTCCATAAGAAGCAACTACTCATCAGTTCAAATTTGGTCCTGAAACTATAGCAATTCAGTTACGTCGTCAAGTTCCAGTCCTACTTCTTGCTCTTTACACTACATCTGTACTGACTTCCTCCACCTTCCTTGAGCCTTGGAATCAACTTTTCAACTCCTGGTAGATGTTGATATTTTGACCTCATCTCATGAATATATTTATAACTGCTCTTAATGCATCTAGAATGATGAATCATTTTGAGAAAGTTCTCAATTATTTTACCCAGCTTGATGTGAAAAATCACTATTATAACAGCTATATGCCTAAGAAATGTACTGCTTACATAACACGACTTGAAAGTTGAAATCACTTCCTGATCCGTGAGCTGCAGGATGCTGATTGTGTTAGCAGGTAGGAGAGCAGCATTCGTCTCCTTATGTATCTCCTTCACAGGTGTACCTCCTTCTTAGGTGATCAGAAACATTGTCAAAGAACAGTAACTTTCTGAAAGAAAATATTTTCTGATGAGTAGATCTCAAAAGTGGATTTTTAAATATTTAGTCGATATTTAGTAAAACAATGTGTGAACAGATGTGCTGTCCTCCAGACTTTGGTGTCCATTTCTAGATTATAGGTAGGGGAGATGAAGCATAATTCATAAGGGTCACAAAGTTTTTAAAATAGTAAAGGAATATTGTTTTCAACCTCAAGTTACCAGCAGAATTAGTCCCTCACCAGAGGCTCACCCCGTCCCAGAGAGCTTTGAAGCCAGGCCTTGACTTCCCATCTCTAGCTATGAAGGTCTCGATGGCATCTGCTTCCTGCAGAACACTGTTTGATCTGCGTAGAAAGTCTGTCTTGTAGTGCAGCACCCTTGATCAGTGTTCCCAGTTAGATCTTCCAGATAACTTGCTGCAGCTTCTATATCTCCTGCTGCTTCACCTTCCCCTTTAATGTTTTAGAGACGGCGTCTTTCATTCAACCTCACAAACCGACCTCTGCTAACTTCAAACTTCTCTCCTGCAGCTTCCTCACTTCTCTTACCCGTCATAAACTTGAAAACGGGGTCTAGCTCAGTATTTGACTTTGGCTTCAAGGGAGTGTTGTGGCTGGTTTAATCTTCTATGCAAACCACTAAACTTACTCTGTATCAACAATAAGACTGATTTGCTTCTACTGTTTGATTATCCATATGTTCATTGGAGTACCGTATTTAATTATGTTCAATAACTTTTTCTTTGCATTCAAAATTTATGTCACTATTTAGTGCAGGAGGCATAGTTTGGGGCCTATCTCAGCTTTTGATACGCCTTCCTCACTGAACTCAATCCTTCCTAGTTTTTAATTGCATGTTAGAGAGGCACGACTCTTCCTTTCACATGAACACTTAGAGGCCATTGGAAAATTATTGACTGGCCTAATTACAATATTACTGTGTCTATGGGAATAGGGAAGCCTGAGGAGCAGGAGAAGGGTGGAAGGGCCAGTCAGGGGAGCAGTCAGAACACAGACGGCATTGATTGATTAAGTTCACTGTTTTTATGGCTGAAATATCCTGCACCTCAGCTAAAATACTGATGCTGGAAATGACTGTTCAGAGATCAACCGTCTGACAAAAATGAGAATGTTTGAAATACTGTCAGGATTATGAAATACCACGTTCAACCCAGACACACACAGTGAGCACACGCTACTGCAGAAATGACTTCCACAGACTTGCTTGACACAGGGCCCACACATCTTCAATTTGTAAAGATCACCAATTCAATTGTGTGTGTGAAGTACAATACAGGGAAACACAATAAAACAATGAGTGTACTAACAGATACTGACTAGTAAAAAATCCACACGTCTCCTCCACAAAGGCAAGTTAGAGTTGGCCTGGTGCTGAAATGAGAGGCAAATTCTACAATTGCAAGTAACCCGCTTATGAAACAATGACTTGTGGTTCTGAGATACACATCCCTTGCCTGACTTGTCATGATGAACAAGATGACAGTGCTTGTCTTGGTGATTTCAATGGGCTAACAACGAGGCCATCTGCTTGCTGCCGCTAGTTGGAAGGACCTTTCTTTAGTTCCCAGGTCAGAATACTGTTGAGAAATATATTGTATACTGTACCACATGATTAGCAAAGATCTTTCCAATAAACTGTTCTATTTAATATTGGTGATATTATTTAATGATAATTATGTGGGGAACATGAATGACTTGTTTCAAGTATCATCCTAAAACTTTCTAGCTATGTGAACTTGGGCAAATTCCTTCATTTTTCTGTGCTTTCAGTTTCCTCATATGTGAAATAGAAAGATTAATAATACTCATTTTGGAAGATTTTATGGAGATTTAATGAAATAATATGTGTAACTATTGACAGTAATGTCTATCACATAATCACATTTAAACCATTACCTATTGTTACTATGAATAAATTATATATTTGAAAAACAATTTTACTTAATATCTCTTCATATGCTACCATTACTTAAAAATGCACTATCTATTTTGTTATTCACTGTCTAGGTTTTTTAGTCCAGTTGCTTCACATAAGGCAACATTCATTATTATCAAATGTGTCAAGATGTTAAAAGAGATAAAAAGACATCATTATTCAAGGTCATTGCTTTTCTTTTAAAAAAGTTGACCTGATATATATTCTCCAAAAACAACAACTCCCCTTTCCTATGTGTCTGAGGAGAAATATTTTAACATAATTACCCAATTGTCAATGACAACAAATTTCTCCTTATTTTTCCATAATGTTATTTTTCTACTGACAGAAACAAAAAGATTCTACCTCTGTTCTGGCCTGAGTTCTTTTGCAGTTGTTTCCAGATGCCTCCCCCATCCCCAGCCATCCCTACAATTTCCGTCATCGTTAAGGAATTTTTTTACTGCCTGAAAAAGTTTTAATATTCAGCAGGTTAAGGGAACTCATGGTCAGCTTTAGAATTTTAGTCTCTGCTGAGCTTTCAAGGTGTCAAGACCCTAAAATAATATGAACAGCAGGAGTACTAAATCTTTCATTATTTCCAGTTTCCCCTTGAGCATACTGACTTTGCAATAAAGAAGCTGTCATTGACACTCTGCTTTATTGCAAGGTGGGTAATAGCCACAGGGAGAAAAATAAGGAACTGTGTCAAGTTAGCCTAACTGCCGTTCTGATTAGTGTGTAATCATCACACATTTGCATCTCCTCTTTCATATCCAGGTACTTCATAGATTGGAAGAGTGATGGGGACAGCTCCTTTACAATAGATGGAACTGAAGGAACCATCGCCACTAATGAATTACTAGACAGAGAAAGCACCGCGCAGTATAATTTCTCCATAATTGCGAGTAAAGTTAGTAAGTATGGCATGGACAGAATCAATGTTGCACTGCAGTTCTTCGGATTTAAGACTCTTAAATGAGTCCCTGCTGAGGTGTTTTTCATTTCTGGACTGACAGCTGAGTGGTCTCCCAGGGAAACTCAGAAACCTGTTCCTTTTCCTCATAGCATAAGTCCAGAGAAATGGTGACAGCTGCCACTGCGCTCTGTTTGCAGGATTGCATGAATTTCTAGCAGCGCATTTCACTGTGTGACCTCATCCTTTTCAGCGCTTTACCTCCAGAAATCCACCAGTTTCAACTTCTCTTCCAACAGGATTCTTGTAGACATCACTGGGAGTTTCACAGAGCCAGGCAAGAGGAAATAATTATCATAAAATATCACCTGTACTGATCTATTTTCAGAAATTGAAGAGAACATTTTAAAAACCAGCCTTCTCTTCCTTTTGTCCCTTTTCATTATAATTTATTTTTTTAATGAATGTCACTGTGGTATGTACGGGAGTTTTTCATTGCAATTCTTCAAGGAGTTGTTTAAAATCTATGATATTGTCAGAAATGATGACTTGTACTGGGTTCTGCTTGGTTCAGAGACACTCCCCCATAATCAGAGTAACTTTAGGTTTTATTCATTTATAACTGAACAAGCAGGGATAGTCCCACAACTTCCCCTCGTCATAGATGACAGTGAGTGGTGACATTCGGCTCTTGACGTAGCTGTTTTTAATAAGGTGCCTCTTCCCAGTCCTTCTGCTTATGTTGTCTCAGCAGGTTTGGGAAAATCCCATCTGAGTCTCTTGCATTTGTTTCCTTTTATTTCATTTTGTGCATCTGGTGCACATTTATAAC